TAAGGTTTTGTAAAGGTTTAGAAACTATTTGAAGGATTTTAAGGTTGTTGAAAATAGTCTCATTCAAAGTCAATGGGGAAAAAAGTGGCTAAAAAAGTAAAAATAGCTGAAATACCAAAAGTCACTGCCGGCATTGCACGAAGCTGAACGTTTTGATATATGAATGGTTGAAGTTGCACAAAAATTGTGGAAGGAGAAAGGTACTGAAAAACGTACGGAAGAAAAAATGATCTCAATTGTGTGAATGGAATACAGACAATCGCACAATAACTAAAAGACGACTCACAACTTTGTCTTTGTCACACTTGAAGCGGATGATGCTGATCCTCTTCTGAYTTTTGTCGGGACAGGCCTGCCCGCTGGTGTACTGCAGCTTCAAGATGTTTCCCTCCCACGTGGGACTGGACTCCACCCCTCCCAGACTCACGTAGCTGTCTCCGTCCCTCATGCAGGACGCAGAATCGGAGGGACACCTCCAGTCCCCTGCAGTGAGACGAGCAGAGCGTCAACCTTTGACCTTCACTGGATTCTTTAAACGAGCCGTGTGAGCGGGCACACAGACTGACCTCCCTGCTGCACCAGAGACCTGCAGACGTTGATGTAGAACCGCTTCTCCGTCCCTGTGGGGACTTCTGCCTCCCAGTTGCGGGAGTCCAAAGCCAGAGAGGAAAGGTCATAGGAGCGGCCCTGACCATCACTGAGAAACAAAAACACAATGTCATTCAGCATTATGTGTCTTTCTGAGAACCGTAATCCGTTATAGTTTCTTCCATGTTTTTTCTACAAGGACTGAACTTAAAATGAGCTAAAAAATATTAGAACGGTCTAAAAGAAATGTGATAAATGCTATCAGAACACCAAAATGTGCATTAATATCTTAAATTATTACAAAAGTTTGTCTTCTCTAAGGAAAAATATAAAGAAAAAAAAAGAGATAAACTAAACTTTACAGAGTTCTGAATGAGAAAATGTTGGTTTACATGTAGGAGCAGCTGGTGGTTTTAACTGGGATGCAGGCCAGCGCAGTGGGCCAGTCAAACATGTAGGTACACTCTGAAGTCTCTTTAATGAACTCTGGTTCTCCCTGGACAAGAGAAATAAAAAAGTACGAGTAAACGCCACTTAGGAGCTGGAATAAACTCAGAAGATCTGTCAGAAATGTCAAACAAATACATTTCTATTAAAGAAATCGGGTGGAGTCATGATTAGCCACCAGCTAGCATCTAAATATTTAACACTTTCTATTAAAAAACAAGCATATGTGCATTCTTGTGTTAAAAAATACAACACAATTAGCTGTGTTTCCATTGCAAATGTGCGCAAAACTTTGTCTATATTCTGTTAATATCAAAAAAAGTTTCACAGCTGCAGTGTTTCCATTAAGTAAGAAATGCTATCAAGGTAATGCGTGAATACGTTTGTTCTCATAAGTCATTACAAACATGGCGGCGATGGATGTAAACACATAGCATGTTGCTACCACGACACTAGCGCTCATCATCAGAGGAGACG